TTTTTTTGCTTTCTTTTTCAAAAGGACAACCCGAGCAAGTGCTAGGGGTGCTGATACGAGCAGATACCACTAGCGTAACTGAAATCATATATGGAAAATGTAATGTACATGAGAAGTCGTGAAGAACCAGTCGCTGAAATCACACATGAAAAATGTAACATAATACAATGTGTCCTACTACTACGCCGCTAGTGCCACACTGCCACATGCTGAATAATGGAAAAAAACAATAATCTACAAGTCGTGTCGATGGTGGGGAGAATCTCTACTAAGACCAACGTTGAAATACTGTACAGAAACCCTACTCACACCAGAATAAGACACACAAAAGAAGAAGAAAACAACAACAACTACATCACGCAGACTACAAGTGACCACTTGACAGGCTGACAATACTAAGACAACATAGCACGACCAAAAACCTTGGACCGTAGAATGTGATGAAGTCGCGTGCAGGTGCGGGAAGGATAAGTCACCGACCCCTCTTCCCCCTCCCACTCTGCCTGCTCGTTCCCCCTCGATTGCTGGATGCTCGTATCCTCTTCCCTCGTGTAGGTGGAGACGTATGCGCAACACGTCTCGAAGCACGCGTCGGTGGGGGGGGTGGGGGCTCATCCTCGTCGTCGTCGTCGTCATCGCCATCGCCGCTCTCACTCTCCTCCTCCTCACCCTCCCCCTCACCCTCATAGTCCTCATCATCCTCCCGCGCTGCCGGTGTCGTCTCATGATCATCCTCCTCGATGGTGACAGGGTCGCCTCCCTTCCTCAACACAACAACCCTCGCACTAGCCTGTGCGACCGTTTGCTGACGGCGGGATCCACGAGGCATCCCCAACCTCTCCGCCCCCGAAGACTCTCCAAGTGCAGCGCCTCCCTGTGCAGGCACAAGGCGTGGACGAGGCACTCCATGCTTGCATGGAGTCTGGTCATGCACAGCACGCGTCGCTGCTCTCAAAGCATCATCCAAGGTCTCTGTAGACACTCCTCCGCCACGACCTCATTGCGGCTCACAACCTGAAGCTGAAACCTCCCTCGCTCCAGTCCTCCTGGCGCCCCTGGTTCCCAAACCCGGCTGAAGGCGTGCCATGAGCTCAGTGACACGACGGATGGAATCCAAATCTATGTTCGTCCACCCAAATATCGTTGTGTCGCACACATCCCGCTGAACTGTTGTCGTGTCACGAATCCGCAATTGTCCGCGCGTGTGAGGGGATCGAGAGCCTGGGCCTGTCGGCGACGACGACGGATCACCCACACGTGGTCTAGGAGGAGGGGGTGGCATGTCTCCCGCACCTGGCGCTTTCTCCTGCACGCCCCGATCAACCCAGGAACATCTGCCCTGCTGCGTCCTCCGGTGGAGGTGGACCCAGACCGATGTAGGGGCCCATGGAACGGAAGGGATCGTCTGCCACTGTCGATGGGTGAGTTTCTGGTCAAATATCCGCGGGTCCAATCGAGTAACATCGAGCACAGCGGCTGCCGTCAACTCCTCTGTATCCAATCGACGATGAAACTCTTGCGGAGCTGGTCGTCTAGGACGTGAACGCACAACCAACGGCTTGGACCCCAAGTCCGTGATAACAACACGTGGCACATCATGCACTGCCACCTCAGCTGGCTGCGACCATCGGGCCTCGACCAACTGCATGCCTAAGAACGGGACAACCAGACCCGCCGCTATGTCATGAACTACGACCCGTGAGTCGCCCGCCCCCCCGTCTCGCCCTGTCCAACCTTCGCAGCCTCGTCGACCATCTGTGGCCCGCCAAGCACAGCCTCACCCACTGTCTGTGGCCCACTTTCCACAACCTTATCTACCGCCTCTTCTGCCACCGCCTCTATAACGTTCGTCCGGACCTCCCTCGCCACCACCCCACCCTGCCGACCATCTCTCCCTGTCTCTCGATGCCTGCGCTCCTCCAAGGCCAGTGCAAACGCCTGAGCACGTGGGTCGCTGAATGCCATAAGTTGAGCCCTCTCTCGCTCTATGATGTCACATGCCGCATCTCGAGACTCCGCCGCCGTCCTCTCTCTCGAGGTCCGCGAGCCCGTCTCGCCTGCCGCCTCGTTCATCGAAGGCGCTCGACCAGTCGATGCCGCCCCGCCGCAACTAGGGGGAGCGTCCATCGACAGGTCAAAGTCAAAGTGGGTCCCCATCTCTGAACCCGCACACCCTGTGGGAGGAGACATCCCCAACCCCCTTGCCACACCTGGGGTAAAACCGGCCACCACGAGATCAACCTCCTCGGTGATAAACTGTTGCACGAGGCGCTCCTCAGCGTCCACACCATCCACCTCCTCTCCCACCACAGCAACTCCAACTCGCACCTCCTCCTCCCCCGTCGCCACTCCTCGTACCTCCTCCTGCGCTACTGCTACCTCCGCCTCCACGGCTGGTGCTGCTGTCACCTCCACCTTCGCTGCGGCTGCCCCCCCCATGTCTGTCGGAGTGGTATGGTGTCCAACCTCCTCCTGCAAAACCCGCGGGGAAGGTGATTGTAACCTCAGCCGGCGAATTGCCGTAGATCTGTGCAGAAGACCGTGCTGAGGGTAGGAGGATGCCAACTCCTGTGTCTCCACCTCTGTAGCGCGCGGCTGAACTGGCGAAACGGGCGATGGTGATACCGGACCCGGAGCTGGAAGTGGCGCAGGACTCGGAGCAAGAGGTGGCGCAAGACTCTAAGTAGTGTGTGGCGGAGGACATGGAGCAGGAGCTGGCGGGGAACTCGAAGGAGGAGGTGGCGCCGGACTCTGAGCAGGAGGTGGCGGAGGACTCGAAGTAGGAGGTAGTGCCAAACTCGGAGCAGGAGGTGGTGCCGAACTCGGCGCACGAGGTGGGGGAATGGACGACTGAGGCCTCGTCGCGGTAGGAGTCATGATCCCCGCCTTTGCACGGCTACTGCGTGCATGAGATCCCCCCACTCTCTCATCGCGCACATCATCTGTGGAAGCCACCTCCCCGAAAAGGCCCCAACGATCCTCGTCTCCCCCCATCATCTCCATCTCATCAAATGCCCCCCCTCGTCGTGCGGTGTATGTCCTCGTCTTCGCGTCCTTGGCATCCTCGTGTGTCTCGTCGATCTCACGAGGAATGGGGAGCGCAGGGCCATCCGCTGCCTCTGGTAACCGCTCGTCATTTGAGTCATCGTCCCTAGGATACGGACGAAAAATGCAAGCACGTCGCTGAAAAACAGCAGTGGCAGGCGGCGGTGCGGAAGCACCGATGGGATCCCGCATAATAAGCGCAGGTTGAACCTACTGGGCAATCTGCTCCTGCGTCATCCCCTTGCGCGTCCCCGTGCGCACCGGCTCCAGCTGAATGCCTGACTGGCAGTCGAGCATGCCCTCGTCCCGCTGCCATGGCAACACATAACCGCATCCCGCCTGCCGATACTCCGTCAACCACACATTTGTGGTGATCTCAACGAGCTGCATGACCTTCTTGAAGGCCAACTGGTTGCGCTTCTTCGTGTGGATGCCCTCATGGACCACCCAGTTCCTCTCCGCTAGAGAGGCGCAGGACCACATGTGCATCACACGAAGAGCGCACCGCTGCAACTCAGGTGCGCCAGCCCCGTACAGGGACCACCAAGACGCGCACTCGATCGTCTCCGTTTCACTGCTACACGCGCCCCCACGAGCACGCCCCTCCGCCCCGCGCCAATCACCAAACCTGCCCTGCTGCATGTGAAAGTCCTCGAGTTGCCGACACGCAACGATGTAATCTGCACCATCCAACTCGAAACCCGTCTGTGTCAAAATGTACCTCTTGGTCCTATAATCTGATTCCGGCCCTGGGTAACGATGAATGATCCTAAAATTAGGGTTTCGGGGTCAAATTTTGTGTTTTTTTGGAATTTTTTTTTCTGCCTCATTTGTTTTACGACAAGCTTGCTGTGTGTCAAATTTGGTGTCATTTGGGTTATTAGAATTTGTGCTGTTAATAAGAAGTGCACTCTATAGATTGGTGTGAAGTTTGCTTGGGATGGCCTTATGGTTTTCTTATAAATTGAGGTGAAAAATGGGGGGTCGGTTAACCTTTTCTCCACAAGCCAAGCATGGTAAGCCTCCACCTCGCCAAAAAAGTAATGAACATGTCGCATGCACGGGTTCAGTAAAAACCCAGCGTAGTGAGCCAGCTCAAGTATGTGGTGTGTGCAGGCCTGCACACGCCTGATGATCCAGTTCGCGAAGGACTGGCCCAAAGGAGCACATGCGTCCTTCACACAATGGACAAGACCCTGTGCCCACTCGACCACGAGCGACATGAACTTCCCTCCACGATCTATCCGCCTAAGCAACTGCATGACGGGCTTCATAATATGGACGATGATGGCAACCCTCTGCCACCAAGGATCCCATCTGATCTGTCGGCGCACCCAATGCGCCATCTGACACACATCGGCAGACCACGGGATGGAAGCAAATGCCGTCGAGTCGTCCCCTCGCATCATGCCCTGCAAAGTGTCCAACAAAGCCAGCAGCCTCTTCAGCATGGAGTAAACAGACGCAAACCGTGTCTCGCAGGAAAGAATAAGCCCCTTGTCGGGGCTGCGCCTCCTAAAAAAAGAAAGGGCGGCCTGGTGGGTTTTGAAAAACACCACCAGCACACAAGCGCGTGTAATTGCATCCACAAACGCGTCGCAACTCGTCCCCATGTCTGACAACAATTTGTTGCTGACATGGACGGAGCGCGAAAGCCAAGTGCTCCTCCTCAATGCAAGAGGCATGGTCGACGAGGCCAACGCCCTTGCAGCCCCCACGTACGCTGAAGCGGAGTCAGTGCAAATCGCATTGACCCGCTGAGGTCCACCGAACCTGAACTCGTGGAAGATGGTGACCCATCTCCGAAGGACGTGCACTGCATCGTCCGGCTCACCCTCTCGATTGATCGTCATGTACATGAGGACCCCTCGCAAGCCTGCGGCAAGGAAATTCACGATCGGTCTCCCGTCTCATGATTTCCTCCCATCAGAGAGTGTGGTGGCACCAGTCACCCAGAATGGTTACCTCACCTCCTCCAACTCCTCCGCCAACTCCGCACGGTGGGTCAACACCGCCTGCATGCTGGCAATCTCGTTGTGGCTAGGGAGCACAGCGCAAGGAGAACTGCCAGGCTGCTCAAGGAGCACTTGTTGATATGCCTTCCATGCCTCGTTGCGGAAGGCATTGAAGGCCACCTCGCTGGAATAAAGCCAGCGGAGGAAGGCCTCCTTGTGAGAGCAACCCACTCGCCACCGTAGACCTCAATCACCTTCTGTTGTCGGAGCCTCTTTCCAGCCTGGGTAGTAGCTGGATCAGCTCCTCCTTCCTCCCTCTTCGAAGGACCGTCCTCCCTCAGACCAGTCAGTGCAGGCACGGCCCCCTTGGCTGCTCGCGGCAACCAGTCCACCATCCTCTCCCTAGTGGCTGGATGGAACTCTGGCGCGTCCTCGTGTCCGAGGAGTCCCTCCTCGCCCGGGCCACGTGCCTCATGATTGATGTGGATCACGTCCTCCTCCATGTCCCCGCCTCCACCCCTCGAAGGGCGGTCGAACGCACCCTGCCCACCATCTTTCTCGCCCCCTCCCTCCACTGGACGCTGCCCCGCCTCTCCTCCCCTTGCACCACCGGCCCGGGGCGCATCGAGTCCACGCTCCGCGGCGTACCTGGCAACGCTCTCCATCTGGTCAAACTCGAACTTCTGTTGACTCCGTCGTGCAATCTCGTACAGTGCCTCCTCGCTGATGTCCTTGCATTAGTTCGTCTGGCTGAAATGTCTCGTGGCCTGGTACTTAGTCCCCTGAAACACTTTGTTGCAGAATGTGCAACGCAACATCATGACCCCCTTGTTGTCGATCTTCTGGCCGACGACGAGGTACCGATACACAGGGGAGCGACCCCTAAATGTCTCCTGCACATGTTCTGGAGCGACGTCATGTTGCCGCCGCTGCACGCTCCCCATGGCGACTGTTCTTTTTCACACTCCAAAGCGTCCACCCAGACTCCCAGAGTCCTTTCTACGACGCCTCACTGACCCGCACGAAAAGAGTCGCACAGTGCCCCAACGCCGGCCCGCCCCAACCACAAAGCCACGCGAACACCCACCGACGGCCGCCCACCCCCCACTGACTCTCCCCAATGCCGCCGTCCTCTGCCGCACACCGTCGATTCGGCGTCGAACCACCCCCGACCGTCGCATTAAATCACGTTTAACGTCGTCGAACCGCATTCAATCACGTTTAACACCGTTGTAAAAATTCAATGGCGTCTTTCGCGAAAGCCATCGCCGACGCGCGTCGTTCCCTGTTCGCCACGCTGCCGCCGGGCCTCGCCTCTCTGTCGTCGTCTCTCTCTCTCTCTCTCTCCCTCTCTCTCTCAGTCTCTCTCTCTCTCTCTCTCTCTCTCTCTCTCTCTCTCTCTCTCTCTCTCTCTCTCTCTCTCTCTCTCTCT